GAAATATAAACTAGTTTAAAGGCTGACTTTAAACCTTGGCAAACTTGGCTAATTACAACCTGGTTACATAGGAAAACCTAGTTCGAGCACATATGTCAGGAAAGCGAAAGACTTTTTAAAATGTTTTAATTTTCCTGAGCCACGAATGTGACATCTAGAAACTGTGATTATCAGGGTTTTTGAGATTGAGATACGTTCAGGTACTCAACTTTTTGTGTTCATCATCTTCATCCAAAAGCTGGGGCCCGATGAATAAAAACCAATTAATCATGCAGCGCTGTTAGAAACTGAGTGATGCATGTACTCACAGTTGGACGTTGGTGGGTACTCCTTTAAACATCCCATTTTGAAGTGACTCAATGGGGTTGGAAAACAGTGTCCTACGAAGGAGCCAAAAGGTTAGAAAGCCAATTTAACAGCCTATCATAAGCACAGGTAACCCATGCGTCAGTGGGTTTAATGCCATGACTATGATTAATGTATAGCTTGAAAAAAACTTTCGAAGCCTTGCAAATTAGATCATTTAAACTGATAAACAACTCACATTATTTCCAGGTTCTTGAGGTAATTAAAAGCGTTATCAGCGATTCGCTTTATTCTGTTGCCATGAAGGAACCTTCGTATAGGGAGTCAGAGAGACAATAAAATAACAGTTATTAAAAATCAAAGCGCATTCAGTTTGATCTCTTACTTTCAGTTAGCACCAAAGCTGTGCAACTTCCCCAGTAGGACTTATTTCTTAAACTTTGTGAGCTCTGGTTTGAAAGCAATGTTTTGATTTGAGTGAGAACACTGCTATGATTGATATTAGCACAAGAACACGGTCAAACTAGAATACTCACAACATTTCCAAAGAAGTGTCAGCAAAACTGTCTCCACGAATAGAGGTTAGGTTGTTGCCTGAAAGCATCCTTCAAAACGAAAGAATGTAGCAGCGAAATTTCATCAAAAAGTTAGCTCTAACAGCGAGATCCTAATTTATAAACCAAAGTCTACAGATCTGCTAAAATCTCGAATTTACAAGACGCCATATTTAAACAAATTAGCGAATGTATTTGATTAAATATAATGATTAAGTCCAGATACAATGCGCGCCGTTATTGGTTGAAAGGGCGTTTTCTACCAGAGTATAAGACTGACAAACTTGAGGAAAAAGTGTTGATTAAAAACTAAGCCAGTCGAACTATTGGAAGTTGTGAATACTGATGGTTTGTGAACTTTGGTGGTTTGATATTTTTGACAGCTTAGATCTCGTTCAACCAATCAGAAAACTTGAGCCATTCTAATGAAGATTCTCATTGGCTTATGGTACCCAGCTCTAGGACACTATTGTTTGCTGTGGAAATAAAAACTGAAATGAAAAAAACAAATAAAAACTTAAAAGTAATCCATAAGGAGTTTAACGGATTTTTTATTATGAAACAATAGAGAAGCCTTGATTGTGCTCTCAAGAAAAGAGGAGAAACATTTCACTACGTCTTGTGTTTCTCCCTACACTTCTTTCGTGCTTTAGCCAATTCCTGCGTGCTTTACAACAGAACAGAGCATGGTCAAGGCTTCTCCATTTGTTAATAAGGTAAGCATCCACCGAAATCATCGAAATAAGCATTGTCTATTCCGTAGTTATCTCTAGGTAAAAAGAACAAAATACTCACAGAAGCTTCAGACATTTAAGCCCGGCAAAAGTTTGTCTTGAAATATCGGAGAGTCTATTAAAACTTAAAAACCTGAGGAAATAAGTCTTTAAATTAGTATTTCATGATATGAGGATTTCTAGAGATGAAAAATGATTTTTACAATGAATGACGCAGATGTATTCTGAGAAAAAGGACTTGGAGAACTTCCAATAGGAATGGAACGTGCGACTCTCTGATTAGTACTACGCATGCTCCACCAATAAGCTATCGGAGGCTCGTGACAGGCTAGGCCGTTCAACCAGGTCAAACATCATCTTTCAATTGAACTGATGTGTTTTTGGCATCAAATGAACAAACGTTAAAGCAAAGAGAACGCTGACCAATACCTCTCTTTATAATATTGGCTTAGACTCTTAAGCGCAACAGATTTTGACGATGTAGTTATGTAATCAGTGCTAAGTTAACACTTCATGAAACAGATTACAAGGAAAAGGAAGACGTTAGACAAATTCATGCAAGTGCAAATTGTTTACTATCTTCTACTGCCATATTTGTATGGGTTTGGGAAAATGTATTCATATACGTTATTAACCTAGCATGAGGTCGGGATGGCTGAATATTGGCCGGTTTCGTTTTTGGGCGTTTTAATGAACCGAAACGAGGCTAATATCCGTTCGTCTTTATCGAAAGAGCTTCGTTTCGAGAGTTCACATTCTCTTGGCTTGGTCAATGAAGGATTTATTATAAAGCAAAAGGATTTCACTTTAATAAGGATTAAGCGTGACTTGTTTATTTCGAGAGCCGAGGAAGAAAGTCAGCCGGTCGTAGAATTCCATCCAGAGATGGTCAAGTTTGAAATCGATAGGGTAAGCAGAATTCTCTCTTAACAGGACCTGTAGCATTCCTTGGCGATAAAATCAAAGTCTTGTCACTCTTTGCGGGACACAATCCCGCGAAGAGTGGTAAGCGCCGAAAAACATTTCTCGTAATATGGTGTAGAGTCATGCGAACTCGGAGTGGAATTGTCGCGAAGAGAATGCCACTCCGGCCGAAAAGAGGCAAGCCTAAATCCTTGTAAGTATTTGGTTAGGTAAAAGGACTTTGATTCGGGGTTAGAGAAATAAGACACTAGAGAGGCTAGCTTTAAGGAGTCACCTTTGATTTGGAAATTGCAAATTCCGAGGTCAACTTTATCAAAAGGCTGGTGGCAGGTCCCTCGACTAACTGTCTCAATACGAGAGCCCCAAACAAAAGGCCAAGGTAGCGAATTTACCTTACAAATAACCCATCGAGGGACCCACAGAACCGAATACATCTAGAGTAGTTTACTGATTCCTAAGAAATGGACCAAAAGAGATTTGCCAACGAGCGAGAGACAACGAGATTGGTAGAGATTAAGATGTTTTTTCCAACTTCTCAAGTTTTGGTTGCCAATTATCCACTTCAGTATCATTGCCGAAAACAACTCCAAAAGATTTTCATTTTGGTCAACCACCTGAGGCCATATGATTGATCGCTCCGTGTACGCATGGACTCCGTTTTGGCGACATTTAGGCGCGCTCCAGAACCGCGTTCATAAATATTAATGATATCAAAGAGAGATGCCAACGAACGAATAAATTTAACAATACAGGTCGTATCATCAGCATATACCCCAACATTAGATCTTATTCCGAGTGCGCCGGGTAAGAGAAAGCCCTCTATGGCGGGATTGTTTCGGATTTTACAGGCGAGAGTTTCAACACATAAAATATCCAACAAAGGTGACAGGAAATCCCCCCGTATCACTCCGCGAGACAAAGGTATCGCTTCAGTTAACCATTCATTAACGATGACTTGCATGTTAGCATCATTATATCGTGTGCTAAGTCAGTGGCAGAATGACGAACCAACACCAAAATGGTTTAGGAGATTCAATAAAAAAGTGCGATTAACTCGATCGAAGGCTTTCTCTTGCTCGAGGCTGAGTAGAATGCCAGTTTCGTGGAATGTCCATTGCTAGATTATTTTAGTATTTAATATTCATTATTTTTATTATCAGTGCTCTCAATATAGTCTAATATATCTTGCAATAGGTGTAGGTTTGACGTAATTTTCCGACCCGGCACAGAACAGGTTTGATAAGGATCAACGATAAATTGTAAAACTTTAAAGAGAGGGAGAGAAAGAGACTTGGAACATATCTTATAATCGACAATTAGTAAGGAAATTGGTCACCAATTTTTAAGACTTTTGCGGTCCCCTTTCTTAAAAATGACTCGAGTATTACTAGTTTTCATAGACTCGCACATCTCTCCAGCTTGAGATCATGCACTGAATACCTGGCACAGATATGGATCCAGACGGTCCCAGAGCTTTGAATAAAACTCGACCGAAAGGCTATCAGGGCCGGGAGCTTTGTTTGTGTTCATTTTATTAAGAGCGACAGTAATTTCCTCGAGCGTCAAGTCACCTTCGCAAGAGGATGCCTGATCGCACCTGAGTTGACGAGACAAGGAGGATAAAAGATCGGTTTGCATCGCGACATCTAACGGCTCTTCGGAAAGAGTCGAGAGTAAAAATCTACGTGCGCTTTCGAAATTTCCTCTTGGAGATAACCTCATTGCCGTCTGAATCGTACACTGAAGAGATGTACGATCTTTGCGCTTTGCTCCGCTGTGAATGAAAGAAATATGGCTGGGGCGTTCGCCCTCTTCTAACCATTTGGCACGGCTACGAATAATAATTGCTTCTGCTTTTTTGGTACGGAGAGCTTTCAGGCGGCTTTCCGTATTGGATATAGAATCGGAGACGGTTGTATCACCATTAAGGAGTCTTGTATTC